GATACCAGGTGGGAAGAGGGAAGGTGGGGTGGAAAGGAGGACCCTGTTAGAAATATTAGCACTGGGTGTTACAAGTTATATCCTTGCCAAAACATATAAAAATTGATCTGCATTTTTATTCACTTGAAGTAGAGAAAAATGTTGAAAAAGAACAAAAAAGAAATATTCTGTGAACCAAGACTTAAAAAAAAAGATGACTCAAGAATAATGACTTTGACTTTAATTTGTGACTGCGCAGCAGCGTTGATGCCAATTTGCAGATGTATTTGCTAAACTGCTGCCAGTAATCACCAAGGAATTACAGAAAATGGCAAAGATTTTCATGTCAGCGAGAGTTCATTGCGGGAGATAGAAGCATTTTACGCAGGCGGAGGTTTAATTGAGTTCTCACAAATCCATTGGAAGGACTGGAAAAATGGGTTTCTGTCTGGGTCTGCCAGAATGCCTCCCAGACACTAAAGCGCTGACTCATCAGACCAGCTCCCACTTCTCGGACCAGTTCTGCCATCACTGAGTTTCCTGAAGACAGGATCTTAAGTGGTATTAGGGAATCAGAGCTGGAGCAGCATCCTTGTTTCATTTGCCCACACTATTTCATGCTTTTGTTGCTACTGCTACCGCAGCTCCTGTCCCCTGCGAAACTGGGGGAAGACCTCCAGGCACTGCTTCGCGTTACAAGCCAGTAGGCCTTGCTGAGAGATGTCGGTTGATGATCCCTGAACTTTGTCTTTCTACAGCAGCCCCGTGGCAGGACTTTAGTGTGCCTGCTGCAAAAGCACGTGGGGAGTAGAGAACTCACCCCCAAGGTTCTAAAGGACTGGGAAGCCCGAACAAGGCAGTCAATGGAAGTTCAGTGATCCAATCCCCAAGATTCCGCATGTCATAGGAAGGCGAAAGTTCTCATGAGGTGGGAGGTTGGCTTGTTCCTTGTCTTGTGGGAACTGGTCAGTCCCTCAGTGTCTCTGACTCCCATTGACAAGCCTTCCTTGAGGCTGACATAGTTGACCAGATGCCGATCTGTTACATTAGGAGAAAAGTAGCAGCAAGCCGAGCAAACATGGCCAATAGTCAGCATTCTGAAGGAAAGCCTGATTAGCAGAATGTTGACAGCTGAGGATAGAAGCAGCTCATGGAAAGTCTGATCAGATGCTATCTGGCTGCAGTTTCTGGAATCACAATAAGGCTGTGTCAGTCTGCCTGACTGATTTCTGGATTGGGTTGCGGGGAGAGGCACTTGCTTATTTGGCCGCGGCAGCACTTGCCTTAGTGGTTGCTGATTATGCCTCCATGACTGGCTGCCATTCTTTCTGTTGTAATGATTTCAAGTGAAGCTTTGCTTTAGCTCAAGACGCATTCTTTGAAGGATGACTCTCACATTATATGAAGGACCAGGCTTACTGCCAGATGGAGATTGTTGGAACACGTGAGGTGATGGTGTTTTGTTCCCTTTCAGGCCTGGGATTGGATTTATCCCTGGGGCTCAGTTTGCAGCCCAATACTAGGTAAATCTCTAATGTGAACTGTTGGGAGGCACGCACTCCTATAGCAATCAGCCGTCTGACATGCTGACCGCAGCATTGGCCCAAGGAGGAAGTGCCGAGAACAGCCAGGGTAAGGAAAGAGGGAGCAATCAGAATGGGAAACATGCGGAGGAAGTGGAAGTGGCACGAGTGATAGGATATGGTGGGGATGACAACCAATGAGGTGAAAGACAAGGGGTATGAATTGTCCCATGGAACTATTCGCTTTGCAAGCCTTCCCCTAATTCACAATACAAAATGAAGGACAAGCAGACCAACAAAAAACAGAACTCAAGGACCGAAGTTGAGAGAGCTTAATCACAGCACAAGGTTGAAAACGAAAACAGAATTTTAAATGAGCCTAGACTGGGTGTGAGTTAGCAACGCATGATTTAGCAACCAAATAAGCCAGCGCAGACTTTATTTTCTTCTTTGTGTTCAAACAGGATTGTTGAATGAAGGGGGAGATAAATGAATAAAGGCTTGATTGCCCTACTCTAGTCTTCACAGCTACTCCTTGCTGAGAATAATCATTATCGTTTCGTGCCCAGCGCAGACTTTCAGAAGATATTGACAGACTGGAGAGCATTTAGGGGAAGTAGCCTGATGGTGATGAAACAACCGTCTACCAAAGTGTAGCAGGACACTCGTGATCTTTACCTTGAGAGGAAAAAAAAGTACAAAACTTAGAAGAAAAACAGTAAAAGCTGAATTACCTACTACTTACTTTAACCCAGGCTTGGTGCTGAGTCTTTTAATGTACTTCAAACATTATAGGTCTATCCTAATGAAAAGTGAGTCTTTCAAGGAGTACCCGGAAGCAGGGCTGGCACTAGGGAGTGGAAACACACAGAGACAAGATCGTTTTTAAAGATAACATTTCTAACTCTCCAAGCTGTCCAATAGCAGAAGAAGCCACCTTGGTGGGATTGAGTTGCATGGTTTGGGGGTGCTGAAGCAAGGATTGATGAAAATTTTGATGGCAATATGATGGAGGGAAATAGGTATTAGATGGGATCATGGACAAGATGACCTCTAAGACTATCTGACGTAGTCCTCGACTCAGTATCGTATAAAAACAGTACTCCCTTTCGTTGATATTAGGGCATGGTTTTGGAATAGCAGAAGTCTGTTTCCAGGTGACCAGGTCGATTTCAGAGTACTCTGCTTGCTGAATTCCCTACTGGCAATGGGAACACAGACCCAAACAAACCAAACAGCACAACCGAAGGTTGCCGGAATAGGAAGCAAATGTTTTGTGAGTGGTCCTTAGGGCTAATGGGGACAAGAGCCCCTCTTATTTCCTCATTTGGTGTCCAGACCCATGTGTTCTTAGCAGGGCAGTGACGGTAGCATGTATTGGTTGCTTTTTTACAGCATGAGACATTTTCATGCTCATGTAATTGGAAACTTTCATATTTTGTTGCATATATTCTTTATGTATTAAAATTATGTACTTTTTTCTGGATATCTACTCATTGTATAGCTTTGATATTTCCAAGGAGTGTACTTTGATCATCAACCCCTCTATCTTTCTATCTATCTATCATCTATCTCTATGCAATAAAAGTTACACCTTAACAATTTGTTCCTGTGAGTGGGGGTGGGGTGGGAAAGGCCGATGTAAACAAATACCGATGTAATTTTAAAGCTAGAAAAGACCTAGAGAGCATATATTTATATATGTAAAAATTTCAATCAGATAAAATTGATACCTGGTTTGAATTTGAGAGCCTTGGTGGCATAGTGGTTACCCATTGGGCTGCGATCCACATGGTCAGCATTCCAAAACCACCAGCCAGCTCCACGGGAGAAGGACTTGGCTTTCTACTGCTATCAAAAGGTACAGTCTCAGAAACTCGCAGGAGCAGCTCTGTCGTGCTGGAGAGCCTCGGTGTGAGTCGGCATGGGCTTGACGGCAGTGAGTTTGCGTCTTGATTTTGTATGACGTCGGATGTCTAAACATAAAATTGAGCATTTTTCTTTCTCCGTGTCCCCTAGCCACAGTGATGCAATGATACATTGTTCTGTTGGCAAGATACTCTTTCTCTCATTGCCTTTGGGTCAATGCCGACTCACGGTGACCCCACAGGACAGGGGAGGACTGCCCTGTGATTTCCGGAGACTGTAGCTCTGTAGGAAAGTAGAAAGCTGCGGGTGATTTCTAACTCCTGACCTTGTGGATCACAGCCCAACTCATAAGCACTGTGCCACCCGCCATCCTCTATACCCCATCCTGTCAAGTAGAATTTTTAAACTACTAGTCCCCATTGCTGTCTAGTCGTTTCTGATTCTCGAGGCAGCCCCGTGGTGGTAAACAGAGCTGTGCTACATAGAGTTTTCAATGACTGACCTTTTGGACGTAGAGGCTCTCCTTCCAAGGTGCCTCTGTGTGACCTCCAACCTCTAGCCTCTCTGTTAGCACCCTAACCTGTTAACTATGTGCACTACCCCGGTCACGTTTGGATGCCTGTTATCGTTGGGAGCTATGGAGTACCGTCTAACTCCCAGTGACTCTATGCACAGCACAATGAAACACTGTGCAATCATCACAGTCACTGGGATATTTGAGTCCTTTGTTGTAGCGACTTCATCAATCCATGCAGCTTAAGGCCCTATTTGTTCTCTCTGAACCTCCAGTCTGCGGACTACATGCCCAAAATATGTGAGGTGATGTCTCATGATCCTTATTTATAAGAATTTTCTGAGTTCATGGCTCACATTTATATCTCTAGTACAGACTGATTTGAATGTTACCTGAGTAGGTGGGAGGCCTAGGATTCCAAAATAATATTACCCATGCGCTCCGTAAGAAGTCAGGTCTTTAGTAAGGCCTTCCTGATTATAACTGTGGCTTGTGCTTGGGTCACCTGCAGCGCTGCGTACGATGCGGGCCTGGACAGGAATGTGGCCATTAAGAAGCTCAGCAGACCTTTCCAGAACCAAACGCATGCCAAGAGGGCCTACCGGGAGCTGGTCCTCATGAAGTGTGTGAACCATAAAAATGTGAGTTTTCCTGTTATTTTTAAACCCCTGGCAGTGGGAAGTGGTGAGATGAGAAGAAGAAAATGAGTGAGCCAACTTTTGTGTGAAAGGCTTCCTTCACTTTGCAAGTTTTGCCTTTTAAGATTGTTTCTCCTGCCCATATGCTACATTTGATTTCATTGTCCTCATGGTAACTTTCTGCCTTAAAATCTTCTGAAAACCATATGGTGTTGAGGGGATGAATTTGATAACTCTGTCCCTCTTATGTAATTAGCCACATTTGGTTATTTTGTTCCAAATTAACCAGAGAGCTTCATGCTTTTCAAAATATCATCAACAAAAACAGTCACTAACATGAAACATATGCGAGTCCCTGATACTTTTGTTTTAATTATTAGCAGGTGATGATTTTTATTTATTTATTGTCACTGTTGTTGCTTTAGCTATTGTCTGGCATTGTAATACTGTGCTTCACTGTCTTGTTTTTGTAGGTCTTGTATTAGTGTATATTTGCAGGTCACTGCCGAGGAGAGTCGCTGTGAGTTGGAATCACTTGATGGCAGTGATTGAATGAGGGTTGAATAGGGTCATTAAGAACATATTCTCATTGGAACTCAGTGGGGTCCAATAATATAGAACTTTCTTCCCTTCAAATTATAAGGTTCTTCAATTACAGACAAAGACCCTTGACTGCTTTCAAAGCCCCAATTATTCTTAGTAAAGTTGAGAGAACTCTTAACTCCTTATAGACCATGTGAGTCACATAGAATGCATTATACACCAGGGAGCTTTCAGACCCAAGCAGCTTTATCATAAGGCCATCTGTTCTTAGTGGCCCTGATATCATGACTGTAGGAGCATTTACTTGGGAGAAATTTTGAAATACAAGTCTGAAGGCCCCAGCTCAATGACAAGTGAGATAGTTTCTTGTGCCAGCCTGGCCGATAAACACAAGTGGGATTAACTGAAGGGTGGAGAGATAAATGGCTCGATGAGCCTCGCCTTTCTTGTCTCTCGCTGTTTGATCATCGGACCAGTGTGTGGCTGCCTTGCTTGTTCTGTGTCTCAATTTAAAGGCTACACTACCTGTGAGACGCCTAGCCTGTGTACTGTGTCGCTGTAAATTGAGGTCCCTTTAAGACTTCTCTGGAGCTGGGGACTGGCGGTTGGTGACCTGGCTGACAGTTGGTGACAGGCCTTGTGATTGGCTGCTGTGCTGACATAGCCTAACTCTCTCTATAAATTGAGGAAGATCTGGCAGCAGACTAGACTTGAAGGACTGCTAGTGTCTCACTACTCTCTCACGGGAGTGAGGTGCACTGAGCCATTTGTACTACTTTATAATTTAACTGTTCATTTCTTGTGTTATATATCTATCTATCTGTATATAATTTAACAGTTCATTTCTTGTGTTATATAGCTAACTATAAAATAAATATATAAAATTGTCAGCAATCTGGTTTTATCTCTCTAGAGAACCCTGTCTAACACAACAAGTTTCCTCTTTTCCTCCACTGGAAATCGTGTTATTATTGGAGTGTTGACATTTCTCATACTCAACACAGTGAAATATCAGAATAAGCTGTCTTGATGTTATTGAGCTCCAACTTACTGGAGATGTTCTAGTTAGTTTTTTATTTAGTCGTTAAACAAGTATTTATTGGGTGCCTATAGTGTGTCAGGCATGGACATAGATGCAGATATGATCTAGATGCTGAGGATGATTTAAAAAAAATGCACTGCCATACAGTTGGAGTTGCTTTCAAATCATTGTGGTCCCATAGGACAGAGTAGAATGGCCCCTGTGGAAGAGCCTCTCTTTCTCCCACAAGGGGTCGCTATAAGTCAGCGTTGGCTTGATGGCAGTGAGTTTGGTTTTTTTGGTTGTTCATTTGAGGAAGAAGTAAAAAAAGGGCTTTTGATAAGTCCTTGTGGCATTTATTACTGCCTTCTCATATCCCTACCATGGTTATTTCTCCTCTTCTTTTCATCACTTTACAGCCGTAATCTACCAAGGAGACTCATATCCTAAAACAGCATGATCCTTACAACTACTCCTATTATTCTTCCTTCCTTAGGATTCCTCCTTCCTTTGAGCATTCTAACTTCATCACCCTATAGACAGATCATATGTCCTTTTGAAATACTTACCAATGGTCTAAAATAAAGTTATAGCAACAACAACAAAAGAACAAAACAACCAAAAAAACAACTCTATTTTTTTTACTGATATTTGCTTTTAATTTCCACAAGCACACTAGTGTATGAGTTTGAGTTGCAGTAAACACTTGTTAGATGTGTTTTAACTAATCCATCCTTGCTCTTTTTTCCTCTCTTGACTCTCTCCCTTCTTCTTGCCTCTTTCAGATTATTAGTTTATTAAATGTTTTCACACCCCAGAAGACACTGGAGGAGTTCCAGGATGTGTAAGTATAGAAATTCAAGAAGGAAGGGAGAACATAGAACTCAATAATCCAAGGGACATTTTCAAAAGGCCAATAAGAGAATCCCCTGCAGAGACAAAAGGAAGATGAGAGCTAGTTGAGTGATAGAGCTAAGGAATGATAGGTTGATCAGTGCCAAGAGTGCCAAGTAGGGAAGGTTCCTGTTCAGGGGTGTACTTCCAGGGGGGACAGTCTGCCTACTTCTGCAAGTAGGACACTCTGGACTTTGTTGTGTTTGTCTTGGTCTAATGAGACAAAGTGCTTTTTCTTCTTCTTATTTTGACACCATGAGCTTTCTAGAAAGAGTTAAACACTTTTAAATATTAATAAAATGGGCAAAATGAAAACCTTCCTTGCTTTGATTTTCTAATATCTTTGAATTTCACACAAAAAAATTTACAGAAAAGTATAATGAGAATAACCATGATTTCCAACATATTCTCATCTTTAGCATACATATCCATGCATTTGATGAAAGGAGCCTGTCTCATTTGTAATCAGGATACTTGGAAAGATTTCGGGAAATATAAGGGGAACATGACAGCAAGATGTAGGCAGCCTACATGTGACTAGCCTGGCTACCGTGCAGAGTGGATTGGAAAATGGATCATTGCAAATGCATTTAGGTTAAATTTTAACACCTTATCATTTGATCTCCATTTGGGTCCATTTAACACTTGTAGATTTTAGTGTTTCCTGCTTTCTGTTCAACTGTTTTTTAAACCTGTTTTACTTTGCTATTCTTGATAGTTTTTTTGTTTTGTTTTTAATGTTTTTCTGAAATTTAGGATATGAAATCCAGTCTCGGCAAATCTATAGTAGCAGTGACTGGATTAATGGTTCCTTCAGGGCATGGCAGTGGAAGTTTGGGGGAAGTGAGAGCTAATAGTGATGAGTACAGGAATGAAGAGAATGTTCTAAAATTGATTGTGGTGACTATTAACTTACTCTTCTTAGTATGATTGAACTATTGTATTGTATGATATGTGAATTCTATGCCAATGAAACTCTTAAAGCACACACACAAAGTCATCTCTGTTGAGTTGATTCCAACTCATAGGACACTTGTAGGGCACAGTGTAACTGTCCCATAGAGCTATCAATGCTGTGACTTTGCAGATGCAGACTGGTACATTGTTCTACCATGGAAAGCTGGTGAATTTGAACTACCAACCTTTTGGTTTGCAGTTTTGCCACCAGAGACCTTCCATGGACATTAATCAGACATTAAGTAACCCTGCTCCTTCTCAGCAACCTCAGGGAGAGTTACTATTAATTAATAATCAAGCACTGGCTGGAGATTTTTCAAATCCTGATCCAAAGAGGGAGGTCAGAAGACTGTCTATGTTCGACTCCCAACCTAAAGGTTGGAGATTTGAACCCACTGAGGGTTGCTGTGGGAAAAGGCCTAGAGCTCCGCCTCTGTAAAGATGACGCCTTGGAAACCACATGGAGCAGTTCTCCGCCGTCACACGTGGGGTCACCATGAATTGGAAACAACTTTATAAGTTTTTCTTAGTTTTCTGATTTGTTTGAACCTTCTGTTTTGAAACTAACACCTAGATTTATCTTTTAGTTATTTAGTAATGGAACTGATGGATGCCAACTTGTGCCAGGTGATTCAGATGGAATTAGACCATGAGCGAATGTCTTACCTGCTGTACCAAATGTTGTGTGGCATCAAGCACCTTCATTCTGCTGGCATTATTCACAGGGTAAGAATGACTACTCCGGAATGATGATGATGATTATGCTTTTGGAGAAAAGAAAAGGCAACTGTATATGTATATGTGTATGTATACGTATATATATTCAGGAAAGCTTTGTTAAATATGATGTACCTCCTATTTCTTTGATGTTAACATTAGAATATAGTTCATAATTGTGCCGAGGAAAATTCTACTGGTACTGGAGTTTATTGTTTTAAAATGTTATTTTTCAGCTCATTGAGAGTCAGCTGAAACATTTCAGGGTTGCTGGTTCCTTGATTGGCAGAGGTCATGTACACCATGGAAATAAAACAACTCATGTCTGTCAATTGTTCTGGCAGCAGAAAGAGGAGCTGATCTTCTGTCTAGACTAGACATGAAAGACAGGCTGAAAGGCTTGTGTTTTCATTAGGAGAAATCTGAATGATAACAATTATTTATATATGTTATAATTTATACATATTATAAATTATATACGTATAAAACTTCTTTTCAAGAAGATCTTAATTTATGAAAATGATCATAGAGTCTTCTTAAGAGTTTAAAACAATTCCTGAAGACTTTATTTTTTAATGTTACGAAAGCTAATTGTGAACTTCTATGGGATAGTCATCTTCTTTGTAAACTACCTTGGGAATCACAAACTTCTTTGGGAAAATAATCATTTGCCCTCTGCAGAGCTTTGCAGGCAAAGAATGGTGTAACTGGTGAGATCATCTAGACTAACTGATAAAGTGGATGGGAATCATATGTTCAATTTGATTCTGGATTTTAAATTGTTGTTGTTGTTGTTGTTGTTAACAGGATTTAAAACCCAGCAATATTGTAGTTAAGTCTGACTGCACACTGAAAATCCTTGACTTTGGACTGGCCAGGACAGCAGGCACTAGCTTCATGATGACTCCTTATGTGGTGACGCGCTACTACAGAGCCCCGGAGGTCATTCTGGGAATGGGCTACAAGGAGAACGGTAGGGAAACTTCTGGATAGCAGGTTTAAAAAGGAAAAAAAAGGAAGGAAATGAGTGCATGTTTCAGACAACCAAAAGTAATGTTCTCTTTCATGTATTTTATAGGATCTTTTTTGTTGTTGTTACTGAAGCTGCCAGCTTTCATATTCAGAATAAAAAAATAGTACTAGAAAGAATTACTCATTAAAAATGTGAAGGATTTTCTGAGAAGCACGTACTGCTGAAAGAGCTCTAAAATGCTGTAACTAAGAAGAATTGTAAATGTAGTCTAACGAAGCAGTCAAGTGGATGCTGATTAGGGCACATGCTGTAGCGATGGAGAAGAATCATAATTGGGCTCCTCCACACTCTGAGGGAGGGTGACAACAGGAAGAAGTCTATCAGCTCACTTAACCATTGGGTTTTGCATGTCATAGTTTATTCAGAAGATGGTGCCAGGCCTAGGGAGAGACAAACAAATCAAAAGTCGCCAGAAACTCTTGGGGTGAACATTTTCATCAATTCTAAATGAATAGCGAATTTGGAACAATTCACATTATTCAAATTGGATAAGCGTTTCTTCAATACTTTAAACTGCTCTGTAAGTATTATTTAGCATAGCAATTGCCTAGTACATCTTTATAAATTCTTGAAATCATCTGAGTAGAAAAATATTAAGTTTTATACTACTATGCTTTCATAAATAAAATCTAATAATCACGAGCAGTTTTAAGATGAAGGGAAGGACAACCTTTGAGATGTACCAATATAATTTTATTAATTAAAATGAAAATATTCTGGTATCTTATTTTGACCAGAATATCTTTTATGAGGAATTCAGTATATTAAAAAATGTATCTAATATATTTAAGAAATAAATTTGAGTAAAGATAGCCTTACTCATTTATGTATTCTATTTTATTTAGTACCTATTAGTCTACTTTGCATAACGTCTTAAAAAACTCCTATCGTCGTATAAGTATGAAAATTCTCAGACCCCAGAAATCTAAAAAAAAAAAAATTACATCCTTCCAGATTATAAGACAACCAGTAGGCTGTGCATATGTACAAAGAGGAAGGCAACGCCTTGGCTGTTCACCTTCAGTAGTTCAGCTTCCCTGGGCTCCGATTTCTAATATCTAAAGGGACTGACAAGATGTAATTTTTTTTTGTAAAGAAGATATTTGTATACATTTGTCAACAGTTCCTTGAAAAGGAAACAAGGGGATCACAATTGGTGTATGTGGGTGTGTGTGTGTGTGTCAAGAATAAAAAATGTCCAGGGTATTGAGGGTCTGAACTTGCTCTCTTGGTTCCTTCAGGTCATTGTCACACAAATGGCATGATTATCCACCCTTTTCCTTCCCTGTTTTCGCTCCCACTGGCCAGGGTTGCAAGTCAGTGCCTTCATTTTTGTCTTCTCCAGATCTGAAGCACTGCCTGACAGCCTGTGCTCCCCTGCCCCCCAGCACCAGGGGAAAGGCTATCCTGCAGAAACCCGCTTGCTCCCGCGTCAGGCATGCCCTGCTAGCCTGTGCACCTGACCCTGCCTGCCTTCTCACAAGGGCATTGCTGTGCAATGTTTCTAGGCCCAAAGCTCGTTTTGTCCTGAATAAAAAGTAGATCATAGAAATTCATAAAAGTGTGTGGAAACATGCCTTCCCAAGAAATATGGTCATTTTGAAATATATATTCCTGTGAGTTTATAACACTTAAAAAAACCCCACTTTTAATGCATTTTTCCACTTTACTTTCAAATAACCCTTTTATACATGTACTAATTTATCATATATCTTTTGTCTTCAGATATTCCCAATAGAAACTAAAGCTGATGAGCACTCACAAATAGGAATGCAGAAGGGAAACCTTAGTTCCTCGCACCAGGAATTCCAGTTCCTTTCTGCAAACCCTACTTCTAATGCTTTCCTTGTATTTGGACCTTGGCTGAAGTCTCCTCATTGGGATGAAAATCAGTGTTGTCTTGTTCCCCTTTGCCACTCCCTTGGATATAATAGAAAATGGTTACCTTTACCAGTTAAGATTATCTTCTCTAGACTTAGCAAATGATAAAATTGATGATCTAAAATGTAAAGCCCCACCTAATTCATAATAATAAAAAAGATTATTTGAAAAAAATCCATAGGTGATTTTTAACCTTTGTTGTTGTTGAAGTGCTGCTTTTCCACATCACTCCTCTAACCACCTTCTGGGATGTGAGAGGTGCTCAAAGGCACCAGTGAAGTAGTTGGTTGTTGCTATTCATTTGAATACTCAGACTAGACACTGTTAATGAAACATTGTGGTGCTGCTCTTAATTGCCCAGTTGGCTAATTTTGGGTGGGGGGCAAAACTTAGACCTTCTCATCAAACTGTTCTGTTCCCTCTTCCCTGAGAGGTCAATTGCCTTCATTAACCGCCCTTTCCTCCTGTTTCTTCACTCCCTCTTTCTCCTGTTCTAGTGGATATATGGTCTGTGGGATGCATTATGGGAGAAATGGTTCGCCACAAAATCCTCTTTCCAGGAAGGGACTGTATCCTTGTGCCTTTTGCTGCAGCTTTACCTTTTTGTTCTCTCTCCCTTTAACCATGTACTGAATGGGTTTACCAGGACTGTAAAGATAGAAGCAAAAAGTTGGGTAAGTGGTGTAAGTGTGATTTTTTTTTAAAGGGTGTTGATTCTTCAAATCTGACCAGTCCTAAAGAGTAACTACCACCATGATTTATTTTAATTACATTTTCAATGAACTATTTTCTTCTTAAATTATTGCCTTGCTGGTTACTCAAAAGAGCAATGCTTTTTATTTTCATTAAAACAGAGGCCACCAGACTCAAAATGATTAAAATGGATTGATTTTTACAACTAAGAAAAGGAGTCACTGTTTCCCAATACTTTTCACCTTTTTCCTAACACTGTTTTATGCTTCCACAACATTGAAGAACATTTCTCTCCTTACTGACAGCTTGAATTCTGTCTACAGCTTCCTTGACTTGACTTATTCTTGACACAACAGCTAGTCCTACATAGGTCAGTAGGTAGCATATCTTCCCAAAAGAATGAAGTTCTGAATTTTAAAATAATAATTCTTATTCAAATTGCTGGAGGTCAGGTGAGTTTAAAATAGATTTCTCACTTGACTTTAAGATGTGACACATATGCTTGATTTTCTTTGAATTTTTAACAAGCAGTATTGTGTTTTATTCTGTTTCAGTCTTCCATTTCTTAGAGAAATATCTGCAATTTGAAGTTATTAAATGAGCTGATATATGTATATCATAAATCTGAAATGAGCATACATTCATTCCAACAAAGGCAATATTTGTAATGTGATATAATACAGTTTACATAATAATCAGAGAATAAACTTTAATAAGTACAGAAACACCCTGCCAATAATGCCAGTGTAAATCTAAACATTGCATATAATTATGGTATCAATGACAATGTAATTTATAATGCAATTTTCAATATATTTACTGGGTTTTAATTGGGGAGAGACTGGCAATAAACATGTAAGTCTATATGTAACTCTATAATTCTACTAATGGTTTATGTATTTATATATTTTTAAAAGTTTTGTTAAGGAAATTGTAAGTAAGAAAAGCTATGGTAGTTATTTTAGTAGGACAAAAAGTCAATAGGACAAAAAATATATAACTCAATAAGAAGTTGATATCACAGTTAACGTGCCTTTATGTAGGCCTTTATTCATTCTGTTGGCTAGCAATAAAATAGTCTATAAATTCCAGTAATAATGGAAGAATAAAGACATATTTGAGAACGATACTGCCCAATATGGTAACCACTAACTACAAGTAGCTAGTCAGCACTTGAGATTATGGCTAACTTGAACTGTATTGTGCCGTGTGTATATGAAAAAAATAAGTAAAATATCTCAATAAAGTTTATACTAGCTCTATGTTGAAATAGGAATACTTTTAGTATTTTAAATTAAAAACTAAACATTGTCAAGCATTTATCTTTATAATGTAAATAATAGGAAGCTTACGATTATAGATGATATGTATTTGTAACTGTCATTTTCTTCTGGGTGGTGCTGGTCTGGAGCAAGGGAAAGAGCAGGGCAGCCGTTTAGTTATAGCCAATCTTCCAGTCGGAAATCTCCATTTGCTCCAGTCCCCTATATTACCTGTCCTGTGAAGGGTCATTTTCCCCATCAAGTTCCATATGACTACCTAGGAAAATTTACCATACTTTAAATTGCTCAGTTACAGTTCAGGGATTAATGACATTTCTAAAATGGTTGATTTGAACTATATCACAGTTTACATTTCAACACACTGCTTTTATTTGGATCCCTGGTGGCATAGTGGTTACACTCATTGTGCTACTAACTACAAGGTCAGCAGTTTGACACCACATGCTGCTCCGAAGTAGAATGACTAGCTTTCTACTCCCATGAAGAGTTATCATGTCAGATAGGACAGGGCCATTTCTGCCTTGTCCTATAGTGTTGCTTTGAGTCAGAATTGCCTCAATGGCAGTGAGTGAGATTTTATTTTAAAACAGCAATTTATTTATCTATTGTGCTTTGACCTTCAGGGTAGGTGTTTTAGATTTTTAAAAGGAAGAAAGAAAGGAGTCTCTTGGATCTAAATTCACAATCAATCACTCAAAGGGAAGCTGCACAAGCACATCTCTATAACATACGTGTTCATGGATAATAAGAAGTCTCAGGGTATTTCAGCTTCGTGGCACATTGTTCTCACAGCCACTTGGTTTCCATGTGGCCTGGTTCTTCCTTGAGATTAAATTTAGTTCGTCAGACCTTTCTCAGGGATGCCCATCTGCTGTTCTAGCAGCATCCAATTTAAAAGTCAGTAAAATTAGGAAAGAGCAAAACAAGTTTTAACCCAATGCAACCTTTCAGAAAAACAGGCAAACAACAAATACAACAACGAGCATCGTAATTTTATGTCTCTTCCAAAATTCTTTAACACACCCCTCTCTCTCTTTTTGAAATTCTGGTGTAAATTTGAGGGAAAATGCTTGAAAAAAGTAAGTCTTGGAAAAAATCAATATAAAATAGGCATATTCTTGATAGATGTGATCCTAAAAATGGAATGAACTGTAATACAAAAAATGTAGATTGTGATAAGGATTTGCATTCAGTAGTCTTTTATCTGACATGCTAATTGTATAGATCATCAGTTTTTGATAGCCTCATGCATATGTATGAGAAAAACCTGTGTGCTGACCTAAAATGAAATAAGTAAATGTTGTAAAGCAATTTACAAAGAACACTTTTTTTCATAGCTTTAATTTTCCTTAAATACAGATAAATAATTTCAAATTGAGAAGTTAAGATAAATGTTGCTTCTTAGAAAATGAAATAAGGTGGGCGAGAAACAATGGACCAATGTAAAACAAATCCACTTCCATCCTCTTTTTTATTTTTAAATCAATTTATTGGGGCTCATACAATTCATCACAATACATAGATCAATTGTGTAGAGCACATCTATACATTTGTTGCCCTCATCATT